GGGGGGGGGGGGCTCTGCCTCCCGACTCTCCCCGGATTCCGGGGTCACTAAACACCCACCCCATCATTAATCACAGTAATTAAAATAAGGACGATGATGTGCTGGAAATTTTAGAGTGGGGCAGAGCGGGGTGTTGCAGAGACTGGGGCACCTCAGCGCGTGTCCTGGGCACTTTTGGGGTGATTTGGGCGGTTTTAGGCGTTGTTGTTGGGTTTGGGATGGGGGCGACTCCCCCCCAGCAGAAACCGGCGGGGCTGGAGGAGGAGGAGGAGGAGGAAGCGTTGATGCATTTAATGCAAACAGGCATTTAATGCACAGCAGGCTCTGCTGCAGAAGCAGCGCCCCCAGCCCACACCCCCCACACCATCTGGGGGGGTCAGGACACCCCCGTTTCCATGGGGGTACCCCTGGGGAGGGGCTCCCCGGGGTCCCAAAACATCACTTGGGGTCAGCGAGGTCCTCGATCGCTCTCCGCAGCTGGAATGGAGGGGACAGGGGAGGTGGGAAGGGGACAGGGGAGGTGGAAGGGGACAGGGGAGGTGGAAGGGGGACTCCCCCCCTGTTTTCCCTTCTCCTTTTCCCCCCTTTCCAGTTCCCTTTTCCAGCCCCATTCTCTTCCCTCTCACCTCCGCCCTGCTCACGGCCCCCACCAGCTCCCCAGAGCGGGTGACAAAGACTCGCTGCAGCTTCAGCAGCTGGAAGAGGTGATAGGCCTGGGAAAGGGACACAGGGACACGTGGGGACAGAGCCACCCCCGCCGTGTCCCCTCAGTGTGACACGGGCCCGGGGGGCTCCCAGGACACGTTTTGCTCCCCCAAACCTGATGCAAGGAGGTCCACGGGGAGAACTGGAGCATGATGGGCTCAATGGCACAGTCGTCCCCGAGTGTCCCCACGGCGGCCAGCTTGAGGAATGATGTGTTCATTTTGGGGTGGAAAAGCGGCTTTTTGGGTGTGCTAGGGTACCCCCCACCCCATTTACCTTCTCCCCCTGGGGCGCCTGGGGGTGCTTGTGGCTCTGGAGGAAGGTGACCAGCTGGGACCTGCTGATGGTGCCCACCAGAGTGGGGGACCCTGGAAAGAGGGGACAGTGTGGGGACAGCAGGGGGAGGTGCTGGGGACACTCCATGGGGACAGCAGGGTGAGGGTGTGAGGACAGTATAGGGACAGGGTGGGAATATCGAGAGGACAACATGGGGACACCAGAGGGGATGGGGACAGCTCTGGAGCAGTGCAGGGACACCGTGGGGATGGCACGGGAACACTGAGGTGGCACCGTGGCAATACCAAGGGCTCGAGGACACAGGACAGGCTGGGAGTGTCACAGGACCCCGTGAGAGCGGGGTGGGGACACTGCAGGAGCTCCCCGTAGGGACAGCGTGGGCGTGGTATGGACAGAGCATGGGAATATCCAGTGGGCACTGGGGGGACACCATGGGGACAGCATGAGGAGACACACAAGGGCCACCACAGGGCCAGGGAGTGGTGACAGTGACCCCCCCAGACCCCACATCCCACCTGTGCTCTCCACCACAGGGTACTCTGCATCGGCAGAGGCGTCCAAGGCCACCAGCACCTCCTGGAAGCCGTCCCCCTTGGCCAGGGCCACCACCCGGCGCTCCATGAACTCCTCCACCGCCACTTGGTAGGAGCTGGTGAGCACAAAACCCCCAAATTCCCATCGTTTCCTGGGGAATGCCCGCCAGCCGTGGGATTTGGGGCGGGGGCTCACGCGATGTGCCGGCTGCGGATGGGGGGCAGGTAGGGCAGCTTCTTGACGATGATGGTGGCGTCGTAGAAGGACGGTTGGTTCTTCTGGGTGATGGCGTTGGCCACCATCACGGCCAGCACGGTGGGCAGGACGTGGCCCAGGTGCCCGGTGGCCTCACACACCAGCAGGGCCGTGGACACCGAGTGTGTCACCGAGCCCGAGAACGCGGCCGCGCCTGGCAGGGGCACAGGGGGGTCAGGGGACAGGGTGGGTGTCCCCCTGCCCGTGGGGGTGTCCCCCAGCCCCCAGACTCACCAGCCAGGGCGTAGCCAGCAGGAATAATGGGCCGTGGGGGTCCCTCTGAATGGAGCCCCCGTGGGAAGAGCAGGGCCACCACCTCCCCCATCAGACGCCCAATGGCTGCTCCTAAAATTGGGGGAGGAGGGAAGGTGGGGAGACCCCAGGGGCCCCCCCAGGAAATGGTGGTGGTAGAGGTAACCCCCCTCCTGCCTCCCGGAGCTGGGTGTACCCCCAAGCTGGATGTGCCCCCTCCAGGCCTGGATTACCCCCACTCCGAGGGCTGAAG